AGGTAGTAATACTCCTCCGTAGATTTCTTTTCATCTCCCGTGGAAGCCAAAAACATGCTTCCCCATTGCGGGAAATGAACTAACGTGACAGGTAATGTACACGCGACAATCATCACTCCCATCCACGTCAGTCCTTGTTCCGTCGTGAACGTGGAAGTCGAGAAGAACACTAGTTGGGTCAGACCGGAGCCGAAGTTTCCTCCTGCTCCAGTTAACCCGGAGATGATGCCTAAGGAGCGGCGAGAGATGAAAGGTATGATGGCGAAGGTGGCTCCACAAGCTGCTTGAGCCCCGAGTGAGAAGAGGATCATAGAGAAAATCGCGGTCGGGAGCGTCGTGGCTCGGCCTAGCCATACGCAGAAGCAACCGCCTAAAGTTTGGATGATCCATAGAGTCCAAAGACGGCCTCTCATGCCGAAGTATCTAGCTGAAATGTCTGAGGCCCAGCCGCCGATAGGACGCGCAAAGAAGTTTGCCATACCAAAGCTTGCGGCGATTATACCGGCCGTGTGAAGCTTCAGATGGAACCTACATAAATGGTCAACATATATTGAGTTTTTTTATGGTCTTTTTTGAATCAAAATCATACAAAAAAAAGGAATGTAGTGGATTTGCGAAAAGAAAAAGAACAAAACGTTAAGAAAATATTTATAGAGGAAAATCATTATCAGTACTAAAAGAACGTTTTTTTTTTTTTTAATGTTTTGGTAAAAATAATCATGTGATAGTCGTTCAAACCGACCACTTGAGCATGCAACTGCAGCTCTGCAAGTGATACGTACTATAATTAAGGGAACATGGCGAGCATGAACATTAAGGTTAATAAATAAATTTTAATTTTTCGAAAAAATTATAAATATAAGAACCCTCGTAAATTGTCATAAACATCACTCTGCCAATAGCAACTAAACTCTTATATTAATTTTCATAGAATAACGTTAACGGTTTTAAAATGCGAGTTGATATTTATGAAAATTTTACCTGTCAAAAAAGTACTCGGCGATGACGTTATCGGTTGTGAGCTCTACTCCCATAGAGTATCCATAGAGCAGCACGAACACCCATGTCCTGTAGTTTGTGATCGCGTACCATAAAACCTGGTAACGTTGTCCACGAGAAAATTATGAGAGTTTTAACAAGATCCTTAAAAGAAAGGAGAGAAAAAGATTATGAAAAGAGTATAATATTTAGAGATGATAAAATTTACAATTACTTAGGTATAATAAGAGTTTCGATTCGTATTTAGATGTTTTAGGAAAAAAATTAAAAAGAGAGTGATTTTCTTGGATTATTTATAATTGTCTACGTGTAAAATATTAATCTAATTAAGATCTATCAGAAGTTCAGAACAACCATTACTATACACCACTAAAACTATATAATTTAGACAACGATCAGTACTCTTAACTGTATAGTACTACAGTACATATATATATATATATATATAGGATTAAGAATTAATCAAAGGATCCAAGAAGAAAATAACATTTCTTTATAATTAAATTACTAAGTACCTTTGAGAACTTGTCTTTAGTAACAGCACCTTGCTTCTCGAGTGTGCTTCTATTACCATCAGGGAGATCTTGTCCAAGAGTCAAGACCAAGATCCCCATGATGATATGCATCCACCCGGGGACAAAGAAAGCCATCCTCCACGCGGTGAAGGACGTTGATCCCAACCGTCGAATGATCTCATAAACCAACGGCATGAGAAGCTGCGTGACTCCACCTCCCATATTCCCCCACCCGGCCGCTGTCCCGTTCACTAGACCTATGATCTGACCGTTGAACATCGTACTCATCCAGTACTGACACGACACGAAGGTCGCGAGGCAGAATCCGATCATGAACCTCACCGTTATGTACCTATATAGTGAAAACATTGTTAAGATCAAACTAAGTGAAGTAAAGAGCGTAAAGTTTGCACAGGTTAAAGATTAACAAGCATGCTTACCCGCCAGCATCAACAACAAAAGACATGGAGAAGACAGTTGGGGCCGAGAGCATGACGAGGAAAGCGCAGCCATAACGTGGCCCAAGTAGATCGCAAACGGCTCCCATAACAAGCCTAGAGAAGATACTTCCCGAGACAGAGGCAACACCGGCGTTTCCTACGTCTTGTCTGGTGAGATTAAGGTTATCTCGAATGATTGGGACGAGAGGAGCAGCAGCGAAAGTGGAAACAAAGCAAGTGAAGAATGAGATCCAAGCAAGATGGAAAGTTCTCATGTGTGGAGCTTCAAAAGAGAATAGTTTGAAGACTTTGGCTTTATGTTCGGTGTCCACGGGAAGAGAGAATTTCGCTGATGTGTCGGAAGGAACCACTGGAGATTGGACTGAGAATGCATAGCTTTGTTCTCGGCCGGTGACTCCATGCATTGAGCTTCCCGGTTCACCGAAACCATCGGCCATTTTGTATTTTATGTTTTTTGGTTGTGGTTTTGTGTTTAGGGAACAAAAGGAGGAAGAGTGGTTTATATAGAGATACGAAAGTTGACTTACTAAGAGCCGATGGAAAATTGGAGATTCTAAATTGCTATAAGTGGGATTCGTTTTACGTGTATAATACTATATTAGTATAGTTCTTAACGAAAATTAATGACTCAAAATTTGTTTATGCGAGCTGATTGATTACAATTATACAAGTAGGTCATTATATTAACAATATGGAATATTCACTTTCGCCGCGCGCATGCATAAACGCGAATTAAGCCTCGTCCTACGTCCCAAAGGTTCACTTAGATTCCAATTATTTTATTACTGATCAATTTGATTACACACAACTGTCCATATTCTGAGAATGAGATGTTTGAGTTTGAAATTGGGAGTGACTATTTTCGAGTTTTGTTGCTGGTATCTTTTTCTTTGATTTAATAAAATATACTCGTAATGAAATAACTGATACTATATTTTATATTTAAGCTCTCTGCTTTTATAATTTATCAAATGACTGATGATCGTTTTATAAATTCAAAAATAAAATGTTCATCAAACATAATTTCGGGAAAAAAACTGCAACGGTTTTGCAAATGTAAATACAACATATCCTCCTTACATACATAAATTACTGTATACAATTTTAATTGGTAGCATAATTTGAAAGTATATGTCACATAGTAGTCTAGTTTCTTCATATGTAGGGTTCCTTTTATTTATATAAGCGCTTCTGACCATTAGAAAAAAACGTAAACAGTATACAGTGTTACAGAATAAAAATTCATTTATATTCCTTAGAAACATTATTTGTACGTCGTCTATGATTATAAGCTTTTATCATTATATGACTGATGATCGTTTTATAATAAAATTATAAAAATATCATCTATCATGGAGTTTACTAACGGGAATTCATATGTTAAGTTTCCTTGAAATTTGTGAGATAAGAGAGATGCAAAAATCAATCCAAGAAAATCACGGTGTGATACATTACGTTATATTCATACATCATATATACATGGGGACGAGTCCCGTCGGGTCCGTCTTCTATATGTGGACTATGTGTTTGCATGGATTGAAAGGTTCCATGTGATAATGTATATTATTTTTGGGGTTAATTAGTGTTAAATATACTAGTGTTATTGAAAGAAACAAAATATCTAGATTCTTACTTATTAAAATATAGTTGTGATGATGATGTAATCAGATCCCTAATTAACTATGCTTAGGAAAGATTGTAATAGCAGAATAACAGTTGTATTTTGTTCTTTTCTAAAGAAAGTCACCATGCGTTTCCCTTCTTCAGAAATAATAAAAAGGAATCAGGAAAACCCAGAGGCGACGTGCAAATGTGCAATATGTAATACTGTACTATGAGAAATATATATACAATATCATAGTTTGATTATATAATTTGTAACGAATATAACTATCTACATGACAAATAATAGCATATGAAGCCTTCGATGACTTTTTTGTTTGTTTGAAAAACTGATCTCATATTAGTAACAGATAACATTATAACACTATATTAGATTCATTAGTGTTAATTCATAATGACTTTCATGTTTTGTGACTGAACATTTGTTTCTATATATTTAGCGTTTTTCTGTTCTGGGTTTTTCTTAATGAAATCTTAATTATGTCTTATAATTGATTGGATTAGGAAAGTGCTTTCTGAAGGAAAAAAAAGAATCTTATGTTGTCAAGGAGGTAGCAACATGCTGGCTAATTGGTTACAATGCCAGCAGATTTACAGGCTCGCACAAATAATTATATATATGTGAATTATACGTGTCTCTTAGTCTAAATCGGTTCAACAATTTGCAAGTCAAATTCTCCGGATTCCATTAGATTATCGAAGTTAATTTGATGATGTCATCTTATTATATGACTTTATTTTGTCATCGAGTTCATCTTAAGTTAAAGCAATTATTATAAAATATAACGCAGTTACGAAATATAAGTTTTGACGCAAAGGGTTTGAAAGAAACCCAGTTGTCTAATGTTTATCTTCTTTTGTCTTATCATAAGTCGTACACTATGAAGATTCTTAATAGCGAGCCAAGCAATGAAAGAGTTATCTTGAGGGAACCAAACAATCCTTCCACATTAGTCTTTCAACTATTGGGCCACGATGATGCATTATTTGATTTAAAGATAATTTTGCATATTAACTACAATTATTTGGTTACTTAGCATGACTTTTCATACTTGTATCATATGTTCCAATATTTGGGACGCGGATTTTCATATTGTAGTAATGACAAAATGACGAAAATGTTACCAGTGCAACAAAATAGACGGGCATTAGCCAATTATTAACTTATGTTTGTATTATAGATCTACTTATTGCATAATATTCAAATTGATAAACCATCACACTCAAACTCGTTCTTAAACCACTTCTTTGACCTTTCTCAAAATTACTTTCTTGCTGCACCACATTTTCGACCGTGTCTAATTACTTTCCTTAACCATCAAAAGAACTCGGAACCAACTTTATTTGTGTCAATGTCAATAATTATATATAGAAAGTGACGTGAATCCAAGACACTACTTGTTTTGGAAACTCTCGACTATAGCGAAATCTAAATTCAAGTCTTAAAAGTTGAGATCTTAGTTAGAATCTAAAGTCTTAAGTCGCAAGAAAAAAAAGCGCACTTTAAACAATCCCAAAGTTTGAGACATAAAAGACTATACACACACACGCACACACAAACAAATCTTAAACTAAAGACTAAACCAGAAACAACAAACTAAGGAATTAGTAACCAAAGCAAAGGATCATGGGGCACCCAAGAGAATCGGATCACACAAACCCGACCCGTGTTTTCCGAGGGCCGAGATACTTAGAGAACGCTTCCTCATCTTTTCTTTACCCGACCAGAGTCTTGTGTTTCCATTCTCGCACGTGAGCAGCGATGCGCATAGCTCAAGCGGCTCAACCAGCTGCTGGTTCGCGGTCCGAAGGAACAAGTCTAAGTTTTGTATGTACTTGTCATCTTTTGTTGCCGGCTTGTGGTTTTTCTCAGACATTACAGCAACTGTATCTCGCGACTCTTCCTCGTCATCCGACCAGTAACTTTTGTCTTCCATTGCAAGATCATCGTACTCCTCATCTGACTTTGTCGACTGCTCATCAACCGATCCCACCTGTCAAAATCTCCCCCAACACTCTTTAACATAAAGAAACAAATGCCGGAGAAATCCGACCATTTGACAAAAGACAAGACTTTACCTCTTCATGGTCTCGTTTGCTTTCGTCATCGCTAAAATCTGTATCTTGCTCAGGAGGATCATCCTCGACTTCTTCATCGCTACCATGCACGGACTGCTCCTCCTTAAGCTGAAGCAAAATAACATTGAAGATACAGAATCATCAAACAATCTTCCTTATACGAATCAAACGAGAAATAAATAGTTTTAGAGTTTACCTCTTTCGTTCCTTCAGACATCCTAGGCGAGCTGCAGCAAGAAGAGTAATGCCTACTGCCGTTTTCAGCCAAGTCAGCTCTAAAGTCATCTACACTCCCAGCACGGCTCGTGGCTCCATCACTAGGCCAAGCACTGATCCCAAATAGACCAAACTGAAGATTCACCGGTTCAGCTTTCTGTAGATATCCATAAATGGGATGCTCCATTCCATTCCCCTCCGTTATCTCATTGCAAAAGACGGGCTTTCCGGTCTCATCTACCTTACCAGTAACGGGCCAAGTTCTTGCGAAAGTGCCATCAGTATTCAGAAGAGCCATTAGATGCCTAGAAGAACCTTTTCTTTGGATCAGCTGAAACATTCCTTTGGAGCTCAACGAATTGGCTGTACACTGGTTCCTGTACTCATCATCGATCACAGAGACGGTATTCGTGGTAGCATCATAGAGCTGCTCACCTGCTTCTCGCCTACGCATGCAACTGAATACAGTCGCGTGGATCGCAGCCACACTCTTATCGACATTGGTGTTGTTTATCTTGGGAACGAGATGTTTGTCAGCTCGTTTACACAGGTAGTCTTGTATAGTTCTGATGTTGCGTATGTATTTGACGTACTTGTTTTTCTCTGGGTCCAAGGTCATGTACTTAGCTCTGACTGCAAACCGTTCCAAGTGTTTCTCCTCGTTTGAGATGTACACCATGAAAGGAACAATCGAAGGATGCTTTTTCATCAGTCCCATCTACCAGCCAGAAAGACGTTAGAATTCAGAATTTCTACAACTTCAAATCAATGTGTGTTATGAGAATGAATAGGGGCTTACCACAAAGTTAAGGCTTAGATGAACACCTTCAATAACCACAGATTCTTTCCGTTCTTCCCATGCGGTTATGAGCCTATCGAGATTGTCGATAACCATTTCACTTTGAGCCTTAAATCCTTCTACAGCCATTTGCTTGGGACTTAGCAATACTGGGGCGGTTGATTTTGATCCCACATCCGTCTGTTGAGAACTAGTGGACTTTTCAGAGGCATTTGCTTTTTCATCGTCAAGGATTGAGTTTTCATAAGCATCCAACTTTTTGGCTCTTCTTCTTCTGGCTTTTGACTCAGCAACTGCCACAGGGTCAAGGTACTCTCCAGCATGGTACGTTGAAGCCCACAGCAAAGGATCCTGCTTCTCATCTACAAAACTCCTCATCATATGACGGATTGAGTCAGTCGAGACAACCGTTGTAATCCCCAGCCTGCTTCCCTGTAACAACAAAAACGCGGCATTGTAAGCCTGTGAAACAAGAAGTGAAATTATATGTAACCGAAAATCATCAAGTACCAAGAGAACAAAAGAGCAAAGCTTCTTTATGTCCATCTAGAGCTTATAAACAGAGGTGATGAATAATACCAAAAGTGCAGAGAGTGTAGATTTGCCACAGCCACTAGTGCCACACAGCAGAACCGTCACAGATTCTTTCCTCTCTCGAATTCTGCAGGAAATGGTAAGGATATGTTAGAAGATCAAATGCAGTTGCAAAATGGGACATATGAGGTAGCAAATCTGACTAAAGAAAACAACAAGAGGCCCAAACATATGGTTCATTACACAGACAAACAAATAACACATGTTCCTGGTTAAAGATAAGAGATTTACTTGCACGCCAGAATCAAGTCTGCCCTTTGGTCATGACCCACATACTTATATTCAGCGAGAGCATCACAGACAACATTTACGAATACTTCTCGTGAAACAACAACGGTTGTGCGCCTTTTGTACATCTCAAACGGCTTACTTTTACTCTTATCAACATCATCAGTAGCTGAACAGTTAGCTTTGTTAAACTTTTGTACACCAGCACAAGCCGAAGCAGGATCCCCTGTCTTCTCAAATACTGATTCTTTCCCATGCGAGGGCGAAAGAATTAAGGATCCCTCGCTTCTTATTAACTCAAAAACCCTGCGGCTAATCTGCTCATAACCAAAAAAAAAGAACTTCAGGATCTATCAAAATCAACGAGGCATGAAATGTGGTGAATTACAAACATCAATGGTTTTGCAACTAGAGAATACCAAAAAGAAGACCCAAAAGGCACATTGCGAGTAAAGAACAGCCAAAAATCTTGAAACTTTTATCTTAATTCAAACAAAATTGAACCTTAAGAAGATACCAAACAAGCTCATGAATACACTGAACACATACACACACACAAATGTTTTGCACCAATACTCAAGTAGAATCTGAAGACATGAGCAACGGAATACAATTAGACGACATGGCACCAATATTCATTCATTCTGGAGCTGTGAATTCACTAACAGCGAGGAAAATCCAAATCAGAAAGGTGAAAAACTGATTCAAAATCATGCTTAATTAATTTATCATTCACATTTAAAAAAAAAAAAACCATTCTTGCGAAAGAATAGACCATGTCGGTCGACACAGTAATGCCAAACTAGACGACCGTGCTTAATCATTTCTGTCCAAATCCAGACACATCACTGTCCCACAACCCAGACAAGTCGAGTAGAAATGCCAATTCGTAATTAAAATTCAAATCGATAAATAAACAAAAAAAAATTAATATGAACATAATCCCAAATCATTAAACGACAAGAAAAGTTTCTTAAAAGGTGAAGACTTTAAAATTCGATGAAAGCGATGTTAAGGAAACAAATCAACAGGAAATAAAAAGAAAAAACAAGAAGAAGAAGTTAAGGAAAATCAGCGATCACCTTGAAGGCGTGACGCGCTTTGCATCCCATGAGCTGAAGAGTACTCTGCAAAACCGGACGCGTATACCGAAACGAATCTTTCCAATTTCCGGTCCCGTCTTCTTCCACGATCGCCGCCGTATCCACATCGTCGACCACCACTATGTACATCACCTTCGTCGTCTCCGCCATATCTCTATAACCAAAAACAAAAACCGAAATCGCGATTGGAAATTGGTATATAAACCGGAAACATGCACGAAGATAAATTCGTTCGGGGAATGAATGCATACCTTGGTTGGGGATATTTAGTCAGCGTGGAGATTAGGGCTAAGAATCGGAGATTGTGAATGTATCGTCGTTATAAGACGGAGAAGAAGAAGATGTTGTTGTGGCCATTTTGTGTCAGCTTTGTTCCACGCATCTCTTCAGTATAGCCTCCACGAGTCTCTCTTTAAAGCCTTCTCTCTCTCGTTTCCTTAACAGAGGAAAAAAAAAAAAAAGGTTTGTTTATGTATATTTTGTCGTATTTGTTATTTTTCTTTTTCTAATTCAGCCAGTATCTTTCTTTTCCTTGAAATGTTATACCTAACTTTGGATGTTATCAGATTGCTCCCTTTTCAGATCCAATATGAATCCATTCATGTTCAGACATCGGGTCAGCTCTTTATTACATCCGACTAAATCTGGTTTAAATTTAAATTTTAAAATTATATCCAACTTAAATTACATGAACTGGATCAACATGTTGGGGTACAATCCTGAAATTTCTTGTTTTTTTGTTTTTCCGTTTGTCTCGTCAAAGTTTTCGGTTAGAAGGTTTATTTTTAAATTTCTATAACCAAGTGTTTTTTTTGTTGTTTAAACTATAACCTAGTTTTTGGCCGACCCCATTTGATCCGGTCTTTGTCAACAACAATTAAATAGGTTCCAATTTTTAGAAGGAAAAGTATGTTTCAGAAAAGGATTAAAAAAACTATATATAATAGTTATTATTACTAGAGATTTTAAAATCTATGATCTTAGTTAGTGTAAAAGAAAAGCTCAATTCAAAACTTCTGTGTTCAACTCACGAGAAGGACTAATCTGTCTGAAATATTTATATAGCTGAATTTGTTCGTAATGAACAGATCATACATATAACCCAATATGAGAAAAACTTTTTAGGGCTAAACATCAAAAGCATAATTAAAATGGTGTATGAGAAACTACATATAAGAACTCATTCTATAATTCAATTTCCAAAACAATATAACGATCGTATACAGATAAAACGAACTTAACTGAATATTCAGTCACATGATTCATCTTTTTAAAGATGCATCTAATCAAAACTTAACTGTCCTGAATGTTAAAGTCATCCTGGGACATAATTCCTTCCCATGAAAATGACGAGATTGGCCCTAATCTCGACACTAAATTACGTCCTCAACCAGCGAGTTGTATCACAATTAGGTCCTATATCAAAGGGTGTTTCAAGGAAACCAAATTGAAAAGTCTCATGGGCCTTCCTGATCGCATTTAGAGGCCATTCTGTGGGCCCATAAACGAGAATCAAACAGTGGCAAAAACGTAATTAACATGTGAGAACAAGGGCAAAGCAGTTGAAAAAGGAAAGAAAAAGACCGAAAAGAACAAGAAAAGTGGCCCATATCGGGTCAGAGGACAAACGTTACATCCATGAAGGTTACCAAGCGGCCATCAATGGACCCCGTCAATTATTTTCATATTCTTTTTCTTTGTAACGGGCGCTCCATGATTTATTCTTATTTATTTTTCTATTTTTTTTGTCTCTTACTCTTTCCGTTTCAATATCAATTGACATTTTTCACACTTATTAAGAAAATTATTAAAAATACTATTTTATACTTTATTAATACATTAAATAATTTTTTTTCTCTAATTAATACATTAAATCAATAGGGTCAAAACTAGAATATTGTTTAAAATTCTGCATTGAAAATATAAAATGACACTCTTTGTGAAACAAAAATAAAATCTTAAAACGACATTTCTTTGTAAAACGGAGAAAGTACAATTTTATAAAATGACGATCAGACGGAATTGGTAAATCAGTTCTACTACAATAATATGTGTTGCACATACATAGTTTAAAATAGAGTTGCACATAGTTTAAGAAAGAGGGGTACGGTCCTCTTAACCATTGCTTTTATTCAAATTATTTATATTAGGTGAATGCCTGCACATAACGTGCGAGTTTTTTTTTCAACTATTTCAAATTTATATTTTTGTAAAAATAAATATAATTATCATTTATTAATATGTTATTATAAACAATTTTAAATTTTTAATTTAAAATACATATTGAATATTATTAAGTAATCTAAAAATATATAAAATAAATAAATATCTATCAATATTTTTATTTAATTATAACAGAAATTTTTGTTTAATATATACGTAAATGTTATTTATACATGTTATTTAAGAATCAATTAATAAAACCAATAATTTTTAATTTTTTTAATGATTTTAAACTTAATATTAAAATTTTATATATAAGTAGATCGGTGTTGACTTCTCCAATGCTGATGTGTCACTCATATGGAGAGAGTTGCCTTTCTTTTATATATAAAATACACACCTGCTTTGTAGAATGACTATATAACATCACATTTAATATAATCAAAATATATTTTGCCGATAAAAAAAATATTGTGTATCACGGATGCGTGCTTGACGAGCAAACACATCAGTTTGAGAAGTACATAATACTGTATAAACACAAAAACTGTATATATCTAGTATATAACTTTATTAATCATTGTTATTTTGTAAAAAAAAAAAATCTGCTTAAGCGCAAAAAAAAAAAAACAAAACAAAAAAGTTCAAGCACTCAATATGAAACTTCAAACAAATTATGGAGACTAGGTTTGTGCAATTCGTCTCAAACATTGGATAAGTCGGTGGATATAACTGCGCGTATAGTTCATTGTCCATATCAAAGTTCTTAATTCATAACGTAACGGAGAAGAATGTATTATAGTGTTTCTGGAGTCCAAGCTAGGGGTTTATGGTTAGTCGTCCTCATCTTAGCAATGCCTATCCTTCTCCACTTGAGCTTCCTAAAGCACTTCAATATCCGCACCAGTCCGGCATTTTGGTATATGTTGAGTTCCAATTACTTTGAATACGAGTATACAACCAGTAGCGGAACCAAGATTATATTTTACAGGGGTTATATATTAAAGTCCTATAATAATATTAAATTATTAATTTTCAATAAATTTCATGGTTGAAAAAAGTCTAGTTAAAATAACTAAAAATAATGTCAGTACTGTTATAAATTTCATAGATTATAGATACTTTTGACTAAATTTAGATGAAATTTTAGAACGGAGCAAAAGAACTAGAAAAAAAAACATTAAAAAAAAACACAAAACAAGTGGCAATTTTAACATTAGAGGAGCAAATGAACGATTTGAACCTTAGGCATAAGGGTCAAATAAGTGGTTTTAGACCAACTCATCCAGCAAATATTTTGGTAAACCTCAATAAAAGATTTTTTTTTTTAAATTCACAGGGGTCAGCTGACCCCCTCTACCTTACCTAGCTCTGCCACTATATACAACATGTCATTTTTTTTTTCTGGTCGCATGCATTTTAACTAGTGATGGATCTAGAAAAAAATTTAGTTGGAACATAAATTATTAGTAAGGGACACTTTTTTCTGAACACAATTGAAATTCTTTTATATTTACTGATCTGGTTGCAAATGGCCAACTAAGATTCTTCTTGACAGTTACGCGCATGAAGTTAAATATTCAAAATCAAATATATGTATATTCAAACTGACCACTATTAAAATCTTTTAATATACTAAAGTACAAGTCACATGGCCAATCAAATCCTGCCACGTGGCTTGTACTTCATAATTAACTTGAGAAAAAAAACGCTCGAGACCAATTCTTCGAATTTCTTGCAAATGTTCTTCCCATTCTTCCCATTTTCCCACCTTTCCACGATATTTTACAAAAACTAACCACCTTCTCTACAGTTATTAAACAATTATATAAAGTATTCATTTCAAATAACAAGATGTTTGCTCGGATTTAAAATAAATGTTTTCATCATCTACATTGTCTCTGGATTTAAAATTTTTTTGACCTTAAGCTAAGTACTCATCACCGCTTCCTCAGTACTTAAAGAAGGCATACGAACACCATTATCTTTTTGGTCTGATTCAAGGTAATTTATCATCTTCTTCCTCCTATATTATCTCGATTTATGTTTAAATTTTTCGTACTATCATTTGATGTTCCTTTTAAATTTTTCTTAATAAAAAATTCCTATTGAAATTTGGTGTGTTGTAATTACATACTATCAATAAAAAGAATATTTTAGTGATTCTTATAGTCCGGACGTAGTAAGGGCCAAAATACTAGTATAAGACAAATTTTGAACGTCAAAGTGTTTCAGATACTTTCATAACCGATTAGCCGATAAAAATACTCAGTGCATCAATCTGTCTTTCGTTCATGGGTTGATAAACTCATACAATGATAAAAATAAGAGTTATCAGATATTAATTTAATCACAAGACTGGCTCGCGGACTTTATCTCCATTTTTTCCATTTTGACATTCTCTTTTTCTTTTTCTCTGTTGAATTTTTCTACCTTCATATTTTTTCTTTTTAATATAGTGCCAAAGAGGCTATCACATCTTGTCGAAACCAAAGCATCCAACTTATTTACAGTCTAATTGGTCTTTTTCTTTTTCTTATTCAACATTTAAAAATCTAAAAATACCATATATAAATCCAACTAAAATGTCTTCTTCCTTAATTAAATTGACGAATGATATGGTTTAAAGAATAATGTAATTGGCTTCTTACGCGATGACACCTTAACATCCAATTTCGAGTCTTCCAACATTTCACAGTCTCCCGTTGCAGTAATTCTGTACCTTCCTTTGTCTTTTATGTGTTTAATTATCTAAGAAATTGTGCGATCTATAACCTAACTTTGTCTATATATAAAATAGACAAAATTTAACTGATTCGATATTATGTGAATATATTTCGGTGTGATTTACATCCATGATAAGCAGCCAAGTGAGAATACAAATCACTTAGCTTATTTTATATCTTTTGGCACTATCTAGTAATATCGATCTAAGCAACTTTATGAGAGTAGAGAAAGAAAGTATCACAATCTTGATAAATTATTTATATGTGAGTGGGCGTTTTAGCTAACCAACCATATATATTACACATGGATCGGAGGCTTGACCCCGGAATATATGTTGACGGTTGACCAAATGTGTCTGATTTTGACTGCGATGGCTTCGGCTGTCAAAATTAGACAGTCCCAGTGATCCCGAAGGTCTATGTTCGGTTCGAGTCTTTCTAAGTTATATTTTTAATATATTCATCACTTCTTGCATAAAAGAAATATGCATATAGATAAAATAGATAAGCTTAACCAAAAAAATAAGATAGATATAAGCAGCCAAAAGTAAACTTCTATTGTAATGGGGTATGTTTATTAATCAAAAACTAAACATGGTCTCGGAACGCAGGTAAGACCAAACCAAGTTAATTAGTTAAATATTTATATTACGAAAGTTCCAACAAGGGATTAAATGTAATGTTAAATACTTATATATAAAGAATAGTGTAAGCTCCTGAACATGTGTAAGCCTGATATAAACTCTCGGCTGAATATGGCATACATAGTAATCAGATTTATATTAGAAAAGGGGAAGAAAGATATGGCAAAGTTATTTAAATATCTCAACCTGTAACGATAAGTGGAAAAAATATATTAAAAAACTAAAAAAGCTATAAGCAATGGATTTTTGTTTGTCAGTATTAGTAATGGATTTATAGGTTGAAGAAGGATTAATTGGCCTATATTGAGCTCAAGAGCCGGATAATTCATATCACCACCTTAATTGAGAAAGTGATAAGAATTAGACCATGAGTATCTTTTAATTGAATTAATGGGTTTAAACACAGGGATCGATCCTTATTTAGGGATTTCAAGAATCGATCCTAACAAATGATATGGCAGAATTTGATTGGTTCTTGCGTTTTGGAAAATTTTGGCTTGAAATTTTTTTTTTTTTTTTGTCCCAGACCATTTCTTCTTTTTTGTCGAAAATTTTTGCTGAAAATTTTTTCCCCCGAAAAAAACTTCTTTCTCGGCTCCCACAAGTCTTTGGTGGAAGAAGAGTCTTTGGTGGAAGAAGAGATGAAGAAGAGGGCGGTGGTGTTGGAAGGTCTCCGACGACATCCTTCGTCTGGGGGTTTCAATGTGGCGGAGATTGGAATAGATATGGTGGTTTGGAAGGAACCAATGGAGCAGGGAGGAGGATTTGTCCTAGGATTAGATTGGCAAAGCTGCATCTCGAGTGTTATGTGGCGAATATGGTGAATCAGTTTGAGTGGAAGGAGGTGGAAGGAGATGAAGTTGACTTGAACTTCGATCTCCACGGTTTATTTTTTAGAAATCCATTTAGAATTTACCGATAAACTATACAAATTATTGGATTTTTTAATAAGTTTCTTAACCCAAAATTATTAATTAAAAATTGCTAAGAAACTCAAACCGATAATGATGATCTTAGATGCTAACAGACATGCACTTTGTGAATGTCGTTTTCATATCGTTTGCTCCATATCCATCAAGATGGCAGCTTAGTCCATTAATCGTTTGGAAAGCTTGAAAGAGAAATAAAAAAAAAGCTTGTAAGAGAATTTTCAAAAGACAAAATCAAACTAATTGTTTTGTACAACTTGATCGTCAAAAATGTGTAATATTTATAGAATAGCTTAAGATAAAGATTAACTTGAAACTGATTTTTTTTTTTTATATTTTTTTGATATATCCACTAATGTTAGAAATAGATACACAGTAACTTATGCGCATTTGACGATCTACAAACGTGTTTGTGATTGTTATATCTATACCATTTCACATCCCCTTTACCATCATAACGAAATACCGATCATCTTCCACAAACCTCAGAATTTTCATTCAAAAAGATGCATATGAATCAACATTATTTCACTTGAACATGGATATTTCAAGTGTTTATTGGTAACCTGCTCATCTCGTTTTCCTTTCGACAATTTAGAATTATTTCTTTTTTTTTCTTTTTACAATTGAAGTGTCCATTTAATATTTTTAAAACTAAAACAATCATAACATGAATCAATTACAAGAAGAATAAGGAAAAAAAAGAAGACACCTACAGCAGATAGTGATCGTCATCATCATCGCATCAATTCCATGAACACAAAGCCATTCCACAAGCTATGCAACAGCATCGAAGGTAACAAGTTCCTTGACCTTGCGAATATCAAACCCAAAACCACTCCAAGGAACACCAACGGCAACATCCTCTGCACATTGAAATGCGCCAATGCAAACGCAATCGAACTTACAAGAATCGCACACCAAACCGGCATGTACCTAGTCAGAGACGGCAACAAGAACCCTCTGAACACTATCTCTTCCCAAACCGGTGCACACACCGATACCACAACCGCGTACAGCGCCATTGCCACTGGGTCTCTAGCCATTATCGACTGCTCAACACTTGAGAGCGAGATCGGACTTGAAGTTGGTGGGAGTGGCAAGAGGTTGAGGTTTAATTGGGAGAGACGGTTAACGAAAGGGAACATGAAACAGCCTATGATAACGTCTAGTTGCCAGTTTCCTTTGAGGGTAAAGCGGAACCAATCGCTTGCAAGTGGACGGAACATGGAGAGGCAACGATGGAGGATAGCAATCCCGGCTAGTCCTTCTGTTACATCGGTTATGAGACTGAACAAAGCTTGGCCTCTAAATGTGAGGGAGTCTTTGTGGAAACCTGATATATGCGCCATGAAAGGGATCATCCATGATCCAATGAACCAGAAGGCGGCTACCCATAAAAGCATTACCTGAAAAAGTGTATAGAGAGCATGATAGATGGTCGCACGATTAACCAAGGAAATGAATCAGTGTTCAACGGGTGAAATTAAATACTTTGGTATATAACTCATTTCTCATGACCGTTTGTTTAGCATCTACCCAATGCATCTACAGTTCTAGTAATTTAAAGCTATCTCCTTTCAACAACCAAGAACTTAATAATACAGGCCGCAAGAGGCAAGAAGTTGTACACGGTTTTTAGTGTGATATTAGCCCACGTTTAAATTTCTCTACTCTCAAAAGCAACATCTTAAGCAATCCATAATAATTTACTATACACTACCACGTTTAAATGTCTCTACTTTCGTTAATGTTCTTGTTAACAAATCTGAATTGGATGTGGCATAACAGAAGCAGTTGAGTAAGATCAAGGTACCTGCACAATGGTCTCTGCAGTCCATGGTACCTTCCAACGAGTTCCAATGGCTTTCAACACTGCATCTGCAGCCTGAAACACAATGGAAACAAAGGGCATATTTAATATACTTTGAACACCAAAAATTTAAGCCTTTTTCAGATTTTGCCTCATTCTAATTTCTCCCACCACATTCAAGTAAATGAGAGCTTATAGAAACTCATCAATTTCCAGATCAAAAGAACGTTAGAATGGTTTTGACGCAGACATTAGTAAACCAAAAGCAGTGGATGATAGATATATACATAACAATTCACAACCAAAGATTCTGCTCCATTCCAAAACTTAGAGTCTATACCCTAATATCAAAATTGGTTTGCTAGACTAAAACAGAGATAAAAATGATTTCTTCTTCAGGTGTAAAAGCATCGGGTCATTTAAAAAGGGATCTTTTACCTTTTGAAGAGTTGTCTTCCAATCTTTTTTATCTGTACATGGATACTCTTGATCTGGTTTAACTAAATCCTCCGGAACGAATTGCTCAGGATTCTCGGGAGGAGCAGAATCCTCATTTCTAAAGCACAAGATCTTCCATTTCTGCAGAAAGCAGCACCAAAGTTCAATACAAGATATCGATTCTTCATCTGGAATGCTGAAGTAATCACAAGATTTACTAAACATCAAAAAGAAGCAATTCGTAAGCCAAGCAAACGTTTAACAAAATTCATCACAATTCAAACGCAACCCAAAATCCTGGCCAATTCAGAGTTTCATACATGAATAAACAGAGAAGAAAGACAATTAGAACCGTACGTGCTTGGAGGACTTAGAAGGTGAAGCACTAATAGGGGAAATCTGGGTTAGAGCAGGAGAGAATACAGTTCGACAAGGAACCCTGAACTTGGAGCGCGAGATGGAGAGTGCTGGGCGATGGCAGAGGAGAGACGAAGAAGAGCAAGGAGAGGTCAACATGGGAGAATCTGAGTTCGACTTAAACCCAGATTTCAGGTTAATTTCAAGAGAGACCCAAAAGCTTAGCAGCCTCTCCGTGGAAATGAGAGAGAAAGATGAGAAAGCCCTAAGAGATTCTTGGTTTCATCACCCAGAGCTTAGCAAATTGATTTCGCACAGAAATGACAATTGAAGAACCCTAAGAGATTCTTGATTTCGTTAGAGAGTGGGATTTGGGGGTTTCGTAACCAGAGAACGAAACCAATTTTGGGTCTTTTTTTTCAGTTCTCTCCTCACCAAAAAAGTCGTTAAGAAAAATAAAATAATAAGTGCTAGACAATAATTAACAACCCGACTAAACCGGATAACCGAACAAAACCGATGCTATCAATCCGAAAGAAAATGATCTATGAACCCAGTTTTATCGGTTTTTCAGCTCGAAAAAAACTATTAAACCGGATCTAACCATGTGTACAATTAGCAAGAACCGATCTATATATAATGGTTCATACATGTGGGAATTATCAGATTATGGAAACATGAAAATGTTGTAGACAACTATAAACTATTACGTGTTATGAATCAGAGATCAGAAACAAGAAATGTTGTGTGTAAGTGTGTAACAAAAAAAGACTAAAACTAAGGTGTATCTAGATAAAATTTTAGCTAGGTCTCTCGCTGCGTCTTGGATATCACCAGCAACATGATCCGGAAGAGCATGAGCCTCATTGACGCATTATCGTCTCCATCATCACATTTTAGTATGTTACCGAATTGGTCTCATTCACAGTATCCTATTAGAGATACAAATGACAACTTTACTACTTTAGTTCTAAGAAAATCGTGTTTAGAAGCAATATGGATTTTAAGAGTTTGTCAACATTCATTCACACATAAATAAACAACTCTGTACATGCATATTTGCCTTATTCGTTTTCCGCTCTAAATGCTGCGAATTTTTCTTATCTTCTGATTGTTTTTGGTGACGAATCATCTCTAAACCCAAATCCAACTCAGTTTGTTGTGACGTCAAACAAAAAAAATACTCAGTCTGTTTTTTTGTTGTTGTTCAAACTCAGTCTGTTGTGTAACTATATTCATCATTTTTCTAATTTTATTATTTAAAAGTGATTTCTATTGTATACATTTTAATAATATTTATAGATGTATATACTTTGTTTACCTTGTAATTGTAATATGATTTTAAGACTAGTTTTGATATATTTGTTAGAGAATTCACTACCATATTGCAGCGAACTAAACCATTTCAAAACTCTGTTTGCTATATGATTGTAACGGGCTTTATATTTTTTTTTGTAAAAATGTCATGATGGAAACTTCATCAGAATACAGAACCCTATCAGTAAATTATTGCCTAGTATGATTCATCTTGGTGACAAATCTATTACCAAGACACGACACGAGTTAACGAAAGTCCAATGGTCAAATCAAAATCTCTCGTTCTCTCTCTCTCCTCCTCATATATCGCCATGTCTTCCTCTCCTCCATTTCTTGACTCCCAAGAAACACTACAATCTCTCCCCAAAAGGAAAAAGGAAAAACGAAGAACGAAAAATAAATAAAAAATAAAACAAACCCTAATTCTCTCTCTCTCTCTCTCTCCCTCGAATCTCAAGAACAATTCAATTCTCCAATGTCTCCTTGATCCATCCTGATCTCCAGAACAATTCTCTGTAACATAGTATTTTTCTTTTTCTCCGTTTTCTCGGAAAAATTTGAGGGATGGGAAGGAGAAAGTTATGTTTTCAAGAAACATTGGTTTCGTTCTTCGTTTTTCTTGCCTTTATTTTTCATCAAGGAGTAATCTGTCAAGAAGATAGAAGCTTGGATAATCCCGCGGCTAATCGCCTATATAACCAATTCGTCTTCGACAAAATATCTAATCTCACCGAAGTTTTCGAGGATGACATTAAACGAGAACTCGGTTTCTGCATTACCAATGTGTTAGTCTAAAGATTCTTATTCTTCATATTCATTTCCAAACCCCAAAATAACCAAACAATGAAAAAAATATGTTTTTTGGTTTTGTGTTGCAGAAAAGAAGATTATAATGAAGCGTTTAATTTCTCTTCAAAGCCAGGTTTCTTAAACGCCTGTGGTAAAACCACAAAAGGTATATAAATATCCTTTTTTCTTTGCTAGAAATCAGAAGAAATTTGAAATTAGTATTTATACATTTTTGTACATGTACTTGGTTTGAGAATAGGTGACATGATGCAGAGGATATGTACGGCTGCAGAAGTGAGAATATACTTTAATGGATTGTTAGGAGGTGCAAAGAGAGCTACGAATTACTTGAAACCTAACAAGAACTGCAATCTATCTTCATGGATGTCTGGATGTGAACCTGGATGGGCTTGTCGCACTGCTAAAGAAACTAAAGTTGACCTTAAAGACGACAAAAATGTTCCCGTAAGAACTCAGCAATGCGCGCCTTGCTGCGCAGGTTTCTTCTGCCCTCGTGGCATTACCTGCATGATCCGTAAGTTTAACCATCTTTAAAACATCTAAACACGATTAAAAGAAACACTTTTTTTTATCCATTTTTCTAATGTTGTTTCTTTTCTTACAATGATATGAAGCTTGTCCTTTGGGAGCTTATTGTCCAGAAGCTAAGCTGAACAGAACAACAGGTTTATGTGACCCGTAAGTCTTGTTTTTTTTGCTTGATTTTTCAAAGTTTTGTTTTGAACTTTTGGTAAGATTAGTAGCAGGATTATATTGTTATTGCAGATATCATTACCAGCTTCCTTCTGGACAGCCAAATCATACTTGTGGTGGAGCTGATATTTGGGCTGACATTGGTAGTAGCAGTGAAGTTTTCTGTTCAGCTGGATCTTTTTGTCCATCCACTATCGACAAACTTCCTTGTACTAAAGGGTAAGTAACTAATAATGACTTTTAATAACTTTCTTTTGGAGATTCATTTTTGTCTTATCAGCTAAACTAATCTCTTGTTTCCTCCAGACATTACTGCAGGACAGGTTCTACTGCTGAACTAAGTGAGTGATCCTCTTTGCCCAAACAACAATGATTCTTACTATCAGAGATAAAGAAGGAGAAGCAAAGAAAGATAACAGAGAACTTACAGTTTCTTTTCTCTGATGAATTTTCAGATTGTTTTAAGCTGGCAACATGCAATCCAAGATCAACAAATCAAAATATCACAGCATATGGAATCATGCTTTTCGTGAGTCATAATTGATCTCTGCTTAAACTCTACATGACAGTACATGTATCTGCTAGTATATTTTCCAAATATCATTCGAGTCTTTGGCTTGTTTCTGTGTAGGCCGGGCTTGGTTTCTTGCTCATAATCTTATACAACTGCTCTGATCAAGTTCTTGCAACGAGAGAAAGAAGGCAGGCAAAATCCAGGGAGAAAGCAGTACAGAGTGTGCGTGAAACTCAATCACGAGAGAAATGGAAATCCGCAAAAGATATTGCAAAGAAGCATGCGACCGAGCTGCAACAATCGTTTTCCAGAACATTTTCAAAGAGAAAATCTATGAGACAGCCTGATTTGATGAGAGGTATCAGCCAAGCAAAACCTGGATCAGATGCTGCTTTACCACCAATGCCAGGAGGCAGCTCAGACACGAAGAAGGGAAAGAAGAAGGAAAAGAACAAACTAACAGAGATGTTACATGACATTGAACAAAACCCTGGAGAAACTGAAGGTTTTAATCTTGAGATCGGTGATAAAAACATTAAAAAGCATGCTCCAAAAGGCAAGGCCTTGCATACGCAGAGCCAGATGTTCAGGTACGCTTATGGCCAGATCGAAAAGGAAAAAGCAATGCAGGAGCAGAACAAGAACTTGACTTTCTCTGGAGTCATCTCCATGGCTAATGATATCGATATAAGAAAGAGACCTACGATTGAAGTTGCTTTTAAAGACCTTACGATTACTTTGAAAGGGAAAAACAAACATCTTCTCAGATGTGTAACCGGGAAACTATCACCTGGACGTGTTTCTGCTGTGATGGGTCCTTCTGGAGCCGGGAAAACCACTTTCCTAACAGCTTTGACAGGCAAAGCACCAGGTTGCACCATGAGTGGAATGATTCTCGTAAATGGCAAGGTTGAATCAATTCAATCCTACAAGAAAATCATAGGTTTTGTGCCTCAAGATGACATAGTCCATGGAAACTTAACAGTGGAGGAGAATCTCTGGTTCAGCGCAAGATGCAGGTAAGCCACATTTTGCGTAATGAAATTCAAGTTTTCGACAAGTTATTCAACTGTATTCATAATCCATATTTACAGGCTCCCTGCGGATCTCCCAAAGCCAGAAAAGGTTTTAGTTGTAGAAAGAGTCATTGAGTCACTCGGTCTGCAACATGTTCGAGACTCACTTGTTGGAACTGTTGAAAAGAGAGGAATCTCTGGAGGTCAGAGGAAAAGAGTTAATGTAGGTCTTGAAATGGTGATGGAACCATCACTTCTGATATTAGATGAACCAACCTCAGGCCTTGACAGTTCATCTTCACAGTTACTTCTCAGAGCTTTACGCCGTGAAGCTCTTGAAGGAGTAAACATCTGCATGGTTGTCCACCAACCCAGGTTCAACATATATTCTCTCCCATAGGCTGATAATAAACAGATGGTTAGGTCTTATCCTCATTTTATCCTCTGTCTCTCTGCAGCTATACTCTGTTTCGGATGTTTGATGATCTAATACTGTTGGCAAAAGGTGGACTGATATGTTACCAAGGATCAGTCAAGAAAGTTGAAGAATACTTCTCGAGCCTGGGGATCATTGTCCCTGAGCGTGTGAATCCTCCTGATTACTACATAGATATATTGGAAGGAATATTAAAGCCAAGCACAAGCTCAGGAGTAACCTATAAACAGCTTCCGGTTAGATGGATGCTTCATAATGGGTATCCAGTTCCTATGGACATGCTCAAAAGCATTGAAGGGATGGCTTCCGCTTCAGCTGAGAACTCTGCTCACGGTGGAAGCGCTCACGGGAGCGTGGTAGGAGATGACGGAACATCTTTTGCTGGAGAGTTCTGGCAAGATGTCAAGGCAAATGTTGAAATCAAGAAAGATAACTTGCAGAATAACTTCAGTAGTTCAGGTGACTTATCTGAAAGAGAAGTTCCCGGCGTGTTTCAGCAATTCAGATACTTCTTAGGAAGGTAAACCCCCTTAAAATAGTTTTCAGAATCAAACAATTCACAGAGAATCTTTTCTTAAACCCAATCTGTGTGCTTTGCAGATTAGGTAAACAGAGACTGCGAGAAGCAAGGACACTAGCTGTAGATTACCTAATACTTTTGCTTGCTGGTATCTGCTTAGGAACGCTTGCTAAAGTGAGCGATGAGACGTTTGGTGCTATGGGATATACATATACAGTCATTGCTGTTTGTAAGTAGAAACTTTTCAAGTTTCTCTGGCAACAACTTAGCTTCTTTCTTCTATAACCCTTTTACCAATTTTCTGGTTTTTCAGCTCTCTTGTGTAAGATTACTGCATTGAGATCCTTCTCTCTGGATAAACTACACTACTGGAGAGAAAGCCGAGCCGGGATGAGCAGCCTGGCTTACTTCCTAGCAAAAGACACAGTTGATCACTTCAACACCATTGTCAAGCCGCTTGTTTATCTCTCCATGTTCTACTTCTTCAACAATCCAAGATCAACCGTCACAGACAATTATATTGTCCTAATCTGTCTTGTCTACTGTGTTACTGGCATAGCTTATGCCCTGGCCATACTTTTCGAACCTGGTCCAGCTCAACTGGTAAATGTTCAATTCTGATGATAGAAGCAAATACTCCGGACTTAAAAAGCTCTGTTTCATATCTTTCTCTCTGGTCTTTGTGTAGTGGTCAGTGTTGCTTCCAGTGGTTCTGACTCTAATTGCCACCAGTACAAATGACAACAAAATCGTAGATACAATCTCAGAGTTGTGCTACACGAGATGGGCTCTCGAAGCATTTGTGGTGTCAAATGCTCAGAGGTTGCAAACTTAATCTCTCCCTGTAATAAAATTCCATTGCAAAGCACATCTCTGCATCTTGTTTACTCTTCCGTATAATATTTCAGATATAAAGGAGTCTGGCTTATCACTCGCTGTGGATCATTGATGGAGAATGGGTACAACATCAAGCACTTCCCTCGTTGCCTCATCTTCCTAACACTAACCGGTATCTTAAGCCGCTGTGCAGCGTTCTTTTGTATGGTAACTTTCCAAAAGAAGTAGCTTTAAAGTTCCCGTAACCTTTTCCTTCTATGCCTACAAATCTCGGGAAAGCTCAAAAAAACCAACTTCTTCCCAATAAGCGTCAACTATACTCAAAGAATCAATAGAGGACATATCGCAGTCACAAAGGTTTTACAAGAAAGAACACACCATTTGCAGAAGGTCATTGCCCGGTATGTTGTTCATAGGTAGTTCCATCATCAGAGTTAAAAGATTTTCTTACCTGTAATTCTCCATGTTGTACATCTTTCTTTTCTTTTAGATATAACATAGATCATCACCTGTTTGCTATGGATTCCGTTTTTTATACACCAAGTAAAATTGTAGAAGCACATAGAAAAACTTAATGAGAAAACCTTGAAGAACTTCCATTACTTTCTCGGCTTAAAGTTAATAACATTGGTAATTTGTTTTCCTCTCATCATCTAGATTTTCATATCCTAGGACAGAAGAAGCATTTAACTTATTGTTATGCGCTGTAAAATGAAAACTGAATCTAATTTTCTTATTTCCAAATGAGATCACCCATGAACTTTAGTGCTGGAACCCCTCTTATTTCTGCATCTAGCAATGGGGATTGGATCAATTTTAACCCGGAAAGTTCTGTATCGTTCTGAATAAGTCCAAGCACACGCGTTTGTTCCTGAAATATCAACAACCATAACACATTAAAGGTGCATAAAAACTGGCTATGTCTATCGGTATTCAAATCAAAAGTTTCAGTAGCTTTTGCTTGCACAGAGTTGAATAGAGTTTACCTTTCGTCTCATCGAGCAAAATTTGCAGTCGGATTCAGACTGAGGTAGAAGCTGATTAACAATAAGCCTGTGAACTGGCACATTTTCTTTCCTTAAAGATGCATGTAACCTCGAAGACTCGTTTATTGCCATAACCTAAAGGAAAAGATAATAGCCTAGTGAATATGTAACCAAATAAAACCCAAAATATAGTGTAGATTAATGATTCTTATGAACAAATTAGAGAATGGTGTTACCGTTGGGATGGTTACAATGACAAACTCAGTACTGTCCACATCACGGAAAACATTTCGAACTTTCTCCATTCTCTCTTTCAGTTGGTCCAACTCGTTGGACTGTTAAAAAATGAATCTTTAGAATTGAGAAAAAGGTGAACAGGAGGTACTGATTCAAGTGAAAAACCTATACTTACAGGTCCTTGTTTTTGTGTCTCCTTTTTACCAAAGACGGACGTAAAGGCCGAAGCTGCTGCAGTGATCTTTTTCTTGAGCTGAATAATGAAAAAAAATTATTTAGATACAAGTAAGCTAAACATATCAATTCTGCAAGTTTTAAATAACAGAAGGAGCGAACCACAACCAAATGCTCAAACCTTTGATATTTTGCTAATGGATGAATCATAGAAATCGGGAAGAGAAAGAAGCCGCAAAGTATGTCCCTGCGAGAAATTATTTGGACAGTTGGATTTAACAGAATACACCAGGCCTAACATATACTCTATGACCAGTACAAAATTAGAATATATTTACTAACCGTGGGAGCAGTATCGAAAACTATACGCGTGAACCTACTGTATTCTGGTGACTCCACAAATTGAAGAACCTGCAAAGAGATATCAACACTAGTAAGAAAAGAAGTTCATTTTCAGGGAATTGCCGAATACAGGAGTAATCTGGTAGGTAACATACGTGCCTTGGAAATAGCTGCTATTTCGTCAATACCAGGTGATGCAGCATTGAGCATATCTTCAAGACTTAAGTCCCCTAACTACCAAAAATGGACAACATATCTGAGACATTAACGAAGTTTCCCAAAATCATAATGGAGGCTTAGAGAAAACACAGAGTACAAACCTCGCCGGCAAACATTCCTAGCCCCATGCTGTCCATCATATTTTTAACGCTTTTATCACCCGTCTGGCTTTTAATCTCTTCCTTCATTCTCTCAGGTGTTATCTGTTTCAACATGAGAACAAAATTTCAGCAACATATGCTAGGTGTCCCGGAGTGTTGAGCCTAGTTCCTTAATCACCTCGAGAGCTAGAAGTGGAGAATCAACACCTTGAACCGGCTTTAAGACTCCTCCTGACAAGTCCTGGATGCCGAAACAAGAGATTTAGCTGAGAACTGCAAACACATACTTTCCAAGTGTGAAACATTGAGAGCTAAATCAGAAGCTGAATTAATATACCTGGGAAAAAGAATCACTCAAGGAGTGAGCAGGATCGGTTGAAACGACGATGGTCGGGTGACCATGGCTAGCAAACTTAACCGCAAGAGAAGCAGCACAGCTAGTTTTCCCAACACCTCCTTTACCTCCCAGAAGGTAATACTTTCGCTGATTCACTGATAACATCTCATCGAAATGGGAAGCTCCTTCAGCAATAGTAGCCAATAATCTCTCTACACACGCAAGCGAGAAACCAAATCTCAATGACCAAACTTTCTCGGATGCATTTTTGACAGAATCCGTAGGCTACAGAGCAAGGTGAGCACACAACTAACTATTTACTATGTGATCCAAACAGATAGTCATTTACAGACTCAACCACATGATTCTTCTCACTAATAAATTCAATCACATTAATCAGTAAAAGAAAGCTCTCATCTTACAATTTCGCAGATAATTTAAAAGCCATGACATCACTCCCCGTAATCCAAGAGAACACAAAGATAAGATATTTGCAGTTAATCTTACATCAGCAAGTCTGGCAAGTAAGAACATAAACAGAGAAAATTCCGAGAATTCAAACCATAATCAGATCGGAAGCCATCAAAGTAGAAATTTCAGCTTAAACAAACGGGAAGAGAGACGGTGATGGAAAATGTCACAAAGTTTGAATATTTTTTCCGGAGAGAGGAAAAGGATCAAAAGGGTTACCTGGAAAGTGTGTTCCGGAGATTCTTCCAGCATGAAGGGAATTGAAACCCAGAGCTCCTGCAACCCGATGGAGAGAGATTGAGCTGCTGCTAGTTCGCGAAACACGATTAAGAAGAAGGGAAGCCGCCATTGAAGAAGAGTTGACAAAATAAATAAAAAAGAAGAGAGAAAGGGAAGAGATTTCCCGGTGAATGGAGGGGAAAATATACAAATCGGTTGCCGAGAAAGTTAAAGGCGGAGCAGGCAACAGAGGAGTGTGAGGGTTTAAGCGAGGATTTTAGGAATTGACCTTCTCTTTATGAATGTGTATTATCTATTAACTGATGGTTAAGTGTGATAACAGAGAATTACGGAACAAAAATGAAAAAGACTTGAAGATATTGGGCTCAACAAGGAAGAAAGGGCTCAAATTATAAGCCCATTGAAACCTAAGTGAAAGACCTAAATGTTTTTGACTTCATAATTACACTTAATTATATTTAAATTTATAATCTAAAATCTGATTCTTTTAGGCTTTTTGCTTCCACTTTAATTCTACTTTTTCTTTTGTTTTCTGACAGAAAATTAATTTTACAACTATAGATATGGAATTTGATCATAATGATTAGAGCCTAAATCATAATCCCCCTTGTACTCTAACGATAAATCTTAAATCATATATAAAAAGAATCTTTATGAAAATATAAAATCCCACTACCCACCACTCTCTCTCAAGGACGGTTAAGCTACGAAAACAGCTTCTCGTCTTCCGTCACCAAACCCTGACGATCGCTATCTTCTTCATCTTGAAGCCTAAGCCAATCTAGCTCAATATGTCTCATTCTTCTTCTATTAACCTCCTTCATTACCATTACCTCCCTCCTGGTCTCAACCACTCTTCCTTCCGGTTCTGCCACACTGTTCCATCTTCATCTCGGTGGTCTAGTCCTGACAACGACTGCTCCATCTTAGCCATGCCCACCACAACTCTCCCAGCTGGCTCGATCTCTCCCTTCAATGTCCCTCATAGTGTTGTGAGTTTTTCTTTCGTTCCATTCTTGTTCTTATCATTTTTAATGATTTTTTTTTGCATACAACTCGAAGTATATATGAATCTTAAACTTTGTGGCCTAACCTAAAAAAGTCGAGTTAATTAGGGCGACACATCGGATTAAAAGAGTTATAAACTGTCATAAACCTTTTTCATGTTTACAATCAGTATGTGTGTTTTACCTTATGAAAAGAAGTTAAGCAAATTAGGCAATTAGCATTTATTCACATTTGATCATCAGTTATATATGTTTATGCATGATTCCATTGTTCTATATAAAATAAAACATGTCTATGTTGTGAATAAATTGTGTAATTTTTTGTTTCTCATTTGTAGAAGAAGAATCTATGTTTTTGCTTAACATTGATTTTCTTTAATCGTGGGAAATTCTGTGTATAGAGGACGAAAAAGCTAAATGGGCAGCAGAAAAAGGAAGAAATAGAGAAAGAGGTATGGGAATCCATTATAACGATTTTACCTATCTATGTTTTTTATATCTACTAGGCAAACACCAAGGGATGTTGTTAATTTTTTTATGAATATACATTAAAAATTTGATATAGATCAAGGTATATATATATATATATATATAGGTGTCCAATCCAAGTTTTTGATTTAATTCTATCTTCGGATTATTCGTTTTCGAAATCATTAACTGAACTAGGTCACTTAGCATGTTATTAGCAATAACAAGCAGACAATGTCACATACTATGGTACTTCTACAGTTGTAAAATTTAGAAGTACTTTAAACCTTTGTCATTTGTAAAATTTAAAGTTCTCTTTCTCACTTTCATTGAGGTTATATGATATAGTTGCGATTAAATCATAATTGTTAGGTGTGGATGTTACGGGAGATGCTGGATCAAGAAGAAAAGACACGTGAGATATTGGAGAGAGTCCAAAAACATCAACTTCCTTCTTCTTCTTCCGTTACTCTTCCTGCTTCTCTGCCTCCCAAGGTATCATTTTAGTTTATATATTTTATTATATGCTTTCTCCACATATATACATACGTGTAGCGGAGCAAGTAAAGTTTCCAAGTTTGGATAGAGTGAAAAAGCAGCAAAAACTATAACATGCAATGATACTAACAATCATATGCATATTTCTTGTAACGTTGCTTTTAAACCAAGGCTCAAGTCAACCAAAAATATTAAGAAAACTAAAAGAACAAGTAATCGTTAAAGAATTATAAAGAAGCAACAATTGAAACGAATACCATCAAAGGCCTTTCTATTTTCTTTTAGTAACACAATAATTAATTAGGTTTTAGCTAGTTTGATGGATAAAACTTGATGTAATTATCAATAAAACTCTAAAATACATTTTTTCCCATTTTTTGTAAGTTATATTTCAATTTTTTTGATTAGACGCATATTCAGAAGTTTCTCGATAACTTTTTACAACTATGGATAAATTGTTAAATCGTGTTGTTATCAATTTCTGAAGTACTAAAATGTCATCATTCCTTGTGAAAAGAAATAAGTTCATAACATTTTGTTAAGCGTCAAAATATCCACTTTATAAGTTACCTTGCACTATTTCTTAATGCAGATGAAGGAACTAATCACGGAATTATCGATAGTGGAAGGAGAAATTTCAAGACTAGAGATTCAAATAAGCCATCTTCAGATAAATCTCAAGCAAGAACAAGATGAAACTTTGAAACAAGCAACAACAAGTTCATCAAGAAGAGCATGGAAAAGTAGTGAGAGTTACAATAATAATGACAACATCACCCCTCATCAAGCTCCAATATCACCAAAATACCCTAATTTGCCACCTCCAAGCCCTATGGTGAACAAAGGCATGATGAAGAATGAAAACAACACCAAATCTTCTACAAGTCGTCATCAAGAGAATTCAACATTTGAAACAAAGACATTGCATTTCATCAACAAATCCATGAAAGCTGATTACGCTACTGAAAGCTTCCACAAATCTAATGAGAAAGTTGGAATAGTCGAGAAGGAAAATCATCGGTCAGCCAAAAAAGAAAACAAGTCGCAAGAGAATATTAATATGAAGAAGGTGATTAGGACGATGAAATCGCCTTCGCCTCTACGTGAACCTAGATACTCCTCACCTAAGGTGAGTTTTTATACATTATCATGCATCATTTTGTTCGTTTAAATTAATCTTGATTTATGATTATGGTTATGATTTGTTGCAGCCTAATAAGGATCGTGTAGCACTTGATACATCACTAGACCTCCCACCAAAATCTCTATCAAGCACACTTTTAATGGAAGATGGACAAAACGTACAGAAGTGGCACCCAAACAGGCTCGCCGAGAACATCATGAAGTGTCTCAATTTCATCTACGTTCGTCTCCTTAGAACCACAAGAGTCATGGAGCTAGAGAAATCGGGTCCCATCTCGAGATCCACTCCTTTCTCTGGTAGCTCGAGAAGCTTTAGGGTCGACAACGCAACCTCCAGTTTGTCTAAATCCATGAATCTTGTGTCTTTTAAAGAATCAAGACAACAAGATCCATATGGAATATTTGATGTAGAAGCATCTTTGGCTAGAGACATTGGTCCGTACAAGAATCTTGTCATCTTCACTTCAACCTCTATGGATTCCAAGTGCATTTCGAGCTCTAGCTCGGTTTCTTTGATCCGGAAACTCAGGTAAATTTTGAGATAAAGTACCGTGAGAAAAATGTTATTCACATTAAAACGGCTAAATATATTGCTATGAACAAAATGCAGGGTGTTAATGAACAGTCTTGAGACAGTGGATCTGAGAGTGTTGAACCATCAACAAAAGCTAGCATTTTGGATCAACATGTTCAATGCATGTGTTATGCATGTACATATACTCTAACTCTACTTCTTCAACATTCTTATTAATCACAAAAGACGATTTTTTCTTATTGATGATATTCTCAACGTATGTTCAATTACTTCCTTGTATGACCAGGGATATCTACAATATGGAGTTCCAAAAACAACTGAGAAATTTCAATCTCTTGTTTACAATAAGGTACGTTTTAGAAAGAAAGTTAACTCCATGTTCAAATACTTGTACGTTAATAAATTTTGAAATAATCAAAGTATAAATTATAGGCTACAATGAATGTTGGTGGCAAAAACATAAGTGCTCATACCATAGAGCATTGTATTCTAAGGAAGCCTGCAAATTCTGCCATGACTCAGGTTTATATATAATCTATCATTCCAATAATTATCTGCATATTGATCTAATCAATCATAAGGATTCACAAAGTATGCAAATATAATCGTAGGATCGACACGAAGAAATGATCATTCGTAAACTATATGGCATAGAAGCAATGGATCCTAACATCACATTTGCTCTCTCTTGCGGAACTCGATCTTCACCTGCGGTAAGCTAAACTTATTAATTAAATTTTAGTTAAGCAATCTATTACGATTAACCGTTTAAATCTATACGTAAATTAACTATATATCGTTAAAGATAAATTAACTTTAACCGCTTCTGGAAAAATACACTAATCATTTTACTAAGATACACATAATCACCACCGAATTTTCATATTAGACTGATAAATTGCTACAACTCATTAGATAGACAGTTATATATATATATATATATATATATATATGTGTGTGGATTTTTTATCTTGACAAAGTCATTAGTTAGTGTATTTTTGTTAAAGATTGTTACAAATTTGATTTTTCAATGGAATTTTTCCTATATACTAACACAACTAATGGTTAATTATTTTTTTAAAACAAAATATGAAGGTGAGGATATACACTGGAGAAGGAGTGGCAACGGAGCTAGAGAAATCGAAAATGGAGTATCTACAGGCCTCAGTGGTGGTTACGGCGGCTAAACGAGTAATCTTGCCGGAGCTTCTGGTGAAACATGCCGCCGATTTTGTGGTTGCAACGGCGGATGGAAGCGGCGGAGAGATGGGATCTCTGGTGAAATGGGTTTGCAACCAATTACCAACCTCTGGTTCCTTGAGAAAATCAATGGTGGAATGTTTTAAGAATCAAAACTCCAAAGCTTCTTCTTCCTCTCTGGTGGTTGACAAGATCCCTTATGATTTTGAGTTTCAGTATCTTTTAGCAATTGGAAAATACTAATTTTTTTAATTGTCAATTATTATGGGAAATCTTTTGTGTTTAAATACAAAAATATCAAGTTTGTATTATTTGTTTATGAATTATTGTTAAACTGACATGTACATGCTTGACCACGATCATTTTATATCTTACGAGTTATGATCATCTTTACATCCTTCTTTGCTTCAACAGTATATATACAACCATTTGTAAAATGCTGATTTTGATCTTTTTCTTTTGCTAATAATAAAAATTTCTTAAAATAAAAGTAGTGGTTTGACATTATATTCGCTCTAGTAAATTTCGAAATTTTTATTGATATTGTAAATTACCCAGATGAACCAATACATCCTCGACAACTGATTTCATGTTTCGTTATCCAAAATAGTCTATTAGGTTGCTTTGTTGACCAAATCGTTTATCTTTGAATTCAAACTGTGACATGATTTCAATTAAAAAAACCATATTCATACACAATGACTTTTTTTTATTATAACATTTAGACTAAAATTTATATTAACTAAGGCGTGTAAAATGCGTGACATTCGGTATTTAAATCACCAATACAGTGATTTTTTTTTTTTTAAATGAACTTCGAAACAAAGTTCTGGATAAGATAGAACTCGATTTATAATTTGGAATCCTGCACCACTAAAACCCCGTTACTAGACACCCTTGTTTTCATTTTCTGTAGAAAATGTACAGAAAAACTAAATGTAACAATTTTGAATAACGAACAATAGGTGATTATGACAACACGTATCTTCTATTGATATTACATATATTCTCTTTAAAAAAATAAAAAATAAAAAAATAAGAAGCGAAAAGGATATGTGAAGTTTCAAACAAAACGGCGCCGGTTTAAGTAAGAGAAGTCGATGGAAGATTCAGCGCAAACCAATGAGAAACTTTCAGCTTTGACATTTATCCAAAATCCATTTTTTGCTTATAATTTCATGTTTTCTCTTTTGAAATCTCACTTTCTCCATCACTCTCTATTATATTTATATCGAAATCTTTAATATAATATTTTAATATAATATTCGAATAAAAATACACTTAAAGTACTAGATTATGATCTTCAAAGTATCTCCACTAGTGTAACTCATTCTGGAGTTATTAAAAATATTATAATAATTTTTTTGAAAGAGAGGAATAGCTAAAAAACTCATGTTTTTTTCTTCTCTATTAGCGTTCTTCTATTTCGGTTTGTCTTCAAGTTTATATTCTTCAACAAGGGACGAGCCAACATCACATTTCTTGTAATCATCTGTATTAATCAGAACAAAAGAAGTTGGACTAAGGGAACACTATTTATACGCAATTACCAGCTCCAAATCTAACCAAAATCAATCCCCTAAAACTTTGTTGTCGATGAGCATCAATCCCGTCGATGAGCACGATTTGCAAGACAGAGAAGCCAGGAGACGAATTGCGGAAGTTTGGGAAAAACTCGCGAGCCCGAATAGCGTCGATGGTGTGGATGACCCGTTGTTTAATGTAATCGGATCCGGGTCGGATTTTACCGAGGTGATGGAGGAAAAAGATGAAGATCGTTGCTTTCATCTCTTAAACTCAGATTCTGAAAATGCTCCCAAATTCTGAAAATCTAAACAAAAAAAACCCAATTTTTTTCTAATTCAACAAACCATAATTTTTCCAAATTGATTAAACCAAAAACAAATCGATAAAGTCCATTAATTTGTACCTTGAGCAAGTGTTAATTCGCCTACCAAACACAGAGGAGAGAAATTTTTTTTGGTCGAAAAACAGAGAGAAAGAATACGGGAGAGAGAAATAAAAATGAGACAAAATGATTAAAAAAGAAAAATAATTCTGCCCACTCACCGTCGTCCACGTGTCCGACGAGACGGTCTCGTCCGGTCCTAATATAAGGAGCGCTCCGTTCAGTTTTTCGTCGAGATATTATTAAAAATTAGTCGACGCATATGAAACTGTGCCGGCAAGATGGTTAAATTCCTCTACTGAAGATGCTCTCAGAGCCGTGACTGAACCGTGAGTATGTAATAAAAAAGCAATTGTTTTATTTGAAAATTATGTTTATACATTTAATTTTGACAGTATATGTTGAGTCATTTTGTTTGAAAAGTTCATGACATTTGAAACTTTATTATCATATGTATTTTTAGAGAATTTTCGCTGCCTCAACAGCTATATTATCTGTGTTTTGCGTCTACTATATAAACCGTACTTATAAATATATATTTTCGATTTATTTTTATTGTTAGATATATAACATATATATGCATGGAAAAATATGGAATTTAAAGGAAAAAAAAAAGAAAAAAAAGTTAGTAACATGAGAAGGGTCACGAGATACCGTGGATGCAAATAAATGAGACTATTTTTAGGGGCGACTTTCGTTATGGGAGATTGACTTTTTCTGTTTTTTTTTTTCTTTGCCTTAACATTTCACCATCTTGGTTTGGGTGTATACAGCAAAGCATGGTATTTGTTTTCAGAAACGAAGCATCGTAACTAACGTATATTCATTCAAACTCCATAAACACGAAGCAGTCCAATGCTTTTATCCACTGTTCCACGCACATGTAACAGTGCGTCAATGCCAAAGAAAAGTTACAATTTCCTTCCTTTTTTTGTTTATGAGATCAGTGCCATGCTTATATCTGTGGTGGCTTTAGGCGAACTAAAAAAAATAGCCTTTATAGAAGATTAGTATAAAATATTGTTTGAAACATACACAACAATAATAATAATAATTGAAACTATAAAAATATCGTCTTTGACCGATATCAATGAGTTTAGCCGACAACTTTGTGAAGTGTAATCGAAAATCGATTGACAATCCAATCTGGATTAGCTATTAAAACCAAATTTTTAAAAACCTAAGTAAAATTAGAAAAAACTAATTAAAATTTTGTAAATATCTATGGTTAAAACCGATAGTTCCGATCAAACCCAAACTTTGTTTTGAATGTAGGTTTTAAGTTCAAAAAAATTCTTAATGATGTTCCTATTTATTGAAAAAAAATTATATACCTCTTCTTTTAGAATATCAATGTGGGATAACTTTTTAATTATGTTTGTTTCAATTAGTTAAATTTCTTTTTTTATTTATCTCTTTATTTATGATAATAATATTAATAACAATAATAATAGAATATGAACTTCTCTCTAAAAAAAATCTAACAATATTTATCTCATTAATTAACTATATATATATATATATATATGAATCTAGTTAATAAAATTATAGCTTTAAATTTTTCTTAATTTTTGGTGGCCTTAGGCTAATGCCTAACTTCCAACACATAAGGCACGGCTCTGTATGAGATATTAACCAACATATCTAATTAGTCGTTTCTTGATGGAATTTATAATCTAATAATAATGCCGATATAGTATTATTATCCGAGTTAGAAATCAATATATACTTAATGCATATGAGTTATGGTTTAAAATTGTTTAGTTTCTTAATTGGTTAAGTTGATCAAAGATTTGTATATATATGGTATATTCAATTGATCAATGTGACAAGTCATTTATAAGAGTCACGTTGACATATTTTAATCATATGGATTCTCATTTTAGAATTACATCCTGATCTGCTTTTACTTTTTACTGATGAAGCAGATCAACAACTATCAAGTCTCTAACTTAAAGCCAATGTAATTCACAGTTTATCCTAAGGGAAACATGACACCCACGGCTTAGACTTAATTTTTTTATCTCAAATCTCTACATACATCTGTTAGTCTGTTAACGTTATCTTCTTTGCATGTGCAAGACAAATGAAATAAAACTAGCTTAACTCACCATCTCAAAAAACAAATTATAAATATGACCCTGCAAATAATCGTCTTCGATAAATGGACCAACGAAGACAACTAATCTTTCTTTTTTTTCAACCCTTTGCGGAAAGATGGAATCGAATTCGCGTATTTAAGGATCAAGCAGATTATTATTATCCAAATATCTGAATATATACATTATATTAGATATTTTGTTTTCTTGGATATGGTTTTCTTTAATTAGATTTTTGTTTTCTCTAAAGAAAATATCCTATGATGGTTGACACCCTGTAATAGATTACGAATTTCAATATTCTCCACCTAATGAATGGGTTCTAATTAATGGCTATGAAGGTTTTTGCTTTATCTATGTCCCCTCCTTTTTTTCCTATCCTTAACTAATTTCTCCTCTCTTTTTCTTCTCTTTTTCAACCAAACTTATTGCATTTCCTTATCAATTTCCTCTATAGTATAAAGAGTTACTACACTTCCATAAATTTATGCACACACCCCAAGCATATGACATACCCATACCCTCAGAGACATATTTTAGATACTTTAACCGTGGTTTAGGACAATGACTTTTATGAGTGCAAGAACTTGTTACATTATTAGTTCATTTTCATGGAATACCAAATTACCAACTAATGTCATTAGCCAGAATCCTTCTTGTTTCACATATATTTTAGTGCATTGGCAGAAAGACTTAATTTAAAGAATTCAAATAAGAAGGTGAAAAACCTATAAGATAATTATATAACTTTTTTTACCAAATAATTTATATTTTTTATCTTAGGATTTAGAATTTTTTTTGTTATATACATGTATGTAATTTTGTTTTCTCTAGAGTAGTGGTTAGAGGTAGGTGAACCATCATTCTATGTCTATGTATTAAATTCCATTGAAAGAGTTCGTACCTGTGGATCGAAGAGAATCCAAGATCAAAACAATATGTGTTTTAATCATAATTTGTTTCATTTTCATTCTTGCTGATGCCTATGATCATGACAATAAACTATTTTGCCATTACAGCTGAACAAATTTGGAGAAGTCTTGCAAGTGAAGGTCATGTATATTGAAAGATATGACTTGCTTGAACAAATAATAATAACTGCTGCAATTACTTGACACAAATTAGATAAGTAAATAAGGCAACCTAGCCAAATTTTGTAAAGTCAACAACTTCATCAATTCAATAACATTGCATGTATATGGCATGCATTGATTAATTTCCAACTACTTCAACGGCCACGGCTTAAAACCTTGCGAGTTTCACCACAAGTTTCAAACTTCCTCTTTTGGGACATAGAATAATTAATGAGCGCTAACAATTTATAATACAAAAATGCTTTCTAATAGGTAAATAAAAAGATGAATTCATGGAATGAGTCATGATTGTATGGAATTCATTTTCTTAGGACTCCTCTCCTACCTAAGTTCGGAGGTACAAAAGAAAAAGTACAACTGGAAAATGTATTGTCAAACTAAAAAATCGTCTAACCGAAAAAAATCTTTAACTTAGCCTTGTTGTATTAGAAAAAAAAATGTTTTTTAGCGAGTCATAACTAAGTATGATATCATATTTCTAGAAGAATGTTGTCAAGCATCATCTACCAAAATCTTGAAGTAATATAGTGCAATAAATTATCAAAATATGATGTCATATTTGGAAGATATTATGTCAAATACAGTAAAACCATTTTGTTAACAAAACAGTGTGTCATAGACGTAGTTTTGAATCCAAATGATTTACAACAAAGTAAGCGGCGTAATGAAATCAAAACCAAATTGATGTACTAGTTCTAAACATTATTCTATTTAGGAAAAAGAATAATGAACAAACTAAAGTCGTATCTGACCAATAAAAGAATACTCAAATATCAAAGATTACAAAAAATCAAAGGTCAAATTTAACTTTGGTAAAATCCCAAGTTTTCATAATGAAAGATATTGACCAAGCTACCCTTCACCCATCCAGCATCCTAAAAAAAGGTCAAATACTTCCCCACCGTCTCTCTCTCTCCTCTCTCGTCGCAGACAAAGAAACTTTTGTAATTTGCAAACTCAATTCATTTACCCATCTCCTTAACTATATGGCTACAGAAGATAAGAAGTGAAGATTTTCTCCATTGGATTTCGGACAAGACCTCCAAGTTTTGTATTTTCTTTCCTTTTTTACTGATTTTGATTTCTGCGAGAAGAAATGGGAAGCAAATGGCGAAAAGCAAAGCTAGCTTTAGGTCTAAACTTGTGCCTTTACGTTCCCAAAACGCTCGAAGACCCTTCTTCTCTCTCAAGAAGATCTGACGACACCGTTTCGCTTTCTCCGGTGATGGTTCCAAGGCCCACTACGCCGATTCCTTCCTCCTCTGGTCTCCGATTGCCTAGGTCCATCAGCAAATCCTCATCAAAGGTTTGTTTTTTTTCTTTCTACTCCACTTTCGTCTCTCTCTTTTCCGGATGTTTGAATTGTGGGTTCGTCACAAGTATCGGTTTTAAGCTTTTCTGTTTACGTTTGATTAGAAAGTTTAGGTTTTTAATTTCATTTTCGTCATCTGGGTGTTTGTTTCTTCTATATTCCATTGGACTTCATCTCTAAGGTTGAATTTTTCCGTCTAATTTGTTGCTAATTTTGAAATTGTTTTTGCAAAAAGATAAGGTTGTGGAATTTCGGTTTTGGGTCGCCGTTGGATTACCGGATCTTTGTGTGGTTCAAAATTTGTGATTGTTAAACACCAAATCCAAGGGCTAATCTTTCTTGGAACTCCAAATTAATTTTTAATTTACCGTATAGTTGTTATTGTATTTTTTTTTACTTTACGAGTATTTGTTTAATCTTCAACTAATCTCTTTTTTCTAAAAAAGTCTGGATCTTCACGCACATCAAATGATCTTAGTAGTTCTCTAGTTTTTTTGTTTTTTGATGACTAAACAATAACCCATTTGCCGTAAAAAAACACACAATAACCCATTTCTTTAAAAAAACAAATTATGAAAAACCAAGCTTAAAATGTTACATATTTTTGGATTAACTTAGCTAAAGGTTCTGTTTTGTTTTAGAGATTTACAAACTTTGAAAGTATTGACCTTTTTGAAAACTGTGGGTGAAAGAAAAAACTCATTTTTTGGTTGTCTAATGTCTTGAGGGCTAATGGGGATTAGTAGATGAAAATGTAATATGATTAGTGAGATTAGGATTTGGTACTTGGTAAACATCTCTCCTCCAAAACCAACCTTGTCTTGTAATTCGAGTCATTATCTTCATCACGGTATTGACATTATAGCTGGCTTGAGATTGGATTCTATTTGATCTGTCTCTTTCCCTGGTTTATAGTGCCTTCTGTTTCTTTCACTCTTTTTTTTGTCATTTTTTCTTTTGTTTTTGTGTATAGTTTTCTTGGTCTTGTTGAAGAAAGATGAGCAATTTGTTGTAATGTAATTATCAACTCTCCTAAATGGAGCCACTGTGGGGATAAAGTTTTTGACAATAGTCAAGTGCACTTCAAGGACCAATCTCTTTTTTTTTGCTTTTTCGCATTCAACTTTTCAATTATTGTTGAAAGATACCCTTCTTAGTGTTCTAAATCTACTGTTAATTAGATATTCTCCTTGATCTAGTTATATCTTCTGTTCGTGGTATACATTTTCCTTAATCTTGGTATACATCTACTTAGCTAAATTTTCTATTTCTTAAAACGTTAACAGGATTATTGTTAGTTTTAACCATGGAATTACAGAACTGTGTGCATAAGCATTTGGTTTATATTCGCGAAAAGATCCATAGAATGGTATTCTATTCTTTTAAATTTTCATACTTTCTTTAACTTTGCGCTATTTTATTTTATTTCAACTTTGATCTTTCTAGCGTTGAATTTGCCTAAGAAAGCTTTTAATTACTGATTTGGTTAACTCTATCCTTTTACTTTATAAAGCTGTGCCCTTTGTCTTTCCCTCTCTTTTGTCCATTGTTCTTTTAATTGTTTGACCTCGTAGATTCCAATGAACTTTGATCAAGATTCCAAGATTTATATTCTAACAAAGAAACCATTATTTTTTCTTGGTCCAAGATTATTGAATGGTCAAAATACTAAACCTATTGGTTAAACTTAAACTCAGTCTCTGTCTCTTTCTTTTTTTCTTTTCCAAGTTATGGCAATGGAAAGATTCCATTTTTTATGTGCTCTTCTTTTTATGCATCATTCAATAATAGAGAGGCTCAGAGTAACAGAAACAAATGTGTCAGAGACTATGACACAAACTCACTTATGTCAGGTTCCGATGGATTCTTGTAATTTACGACAGTGACCTGTCTAACTCTGTCTTACGTGGAAACCCATTTTCTTCTCCTAAAGTTTTTCAACGTCTTTCAAACTAAAGAATCTTTTATCCAGAATCTGAGATTTCTCATTGTGTTTCTACTCTGTTTTGTGAAAATTGCAGAAAACGTGTGCGATATGTTTGACTGCGATGAAAGCAGGGCAAGGCCACGCCATCTTCACAGCGGAATGCTCTCATTCGTTTCATTTCCACTGCATCACCACGAGTGTTAAACACGGGAACCCGATTTGTCCCGTTTGCCGCGCGAAATGGAACGAGGTCCCTCTTCAGAGCCATAACGCCAAGTCTAAATCCTCTGTCAAACCAAGAGATGACGCATGGATGACAATACCACCACGCAGGTCGTCTCAGAATCAATCTTCTTCACGTCCTGACGGTCTAAGACCGGTCTCCTCCATCTTTAACACCGAGCCAGCGGTTTTCAATGACGATGACCCTCTTGAACATCAAGACCGTCCTGCTGAATCCTCCAAAGCTGGTGTCTCTGGTAAACTGGAAGTCAAAACATACCCTGAGGTCTCGGAAGTAGCGAGATCGGTTTCGTTTAAGGATTTCGCTGTGCTGATCAATCTAAAAGCTCCTGCTGCTTCGAACTCATCGTCTTCTTCTTCCCGAGCTCCTGTCGATCTAGTCACGGTTCTTGATGTGAGCGGAAGCATGGCGGGAACAAAACTGGCTTTGCTGAAACGAGCAATGGGTTTCGTGATTCAGAATCTTGGCCCGTTCGATCGTCTCTCTGTTATATCCTTCTCCTCCACGGCACGCCGTAACTTCCCTCTCCGTCTCATGACCGAGACCGGTAAACAAGAGGCGTTGCAGGCGGTTAATGCATTGGTCTCGAACGGTGGGACAAACATCGCAGAGGGGTTGAAGAAAGGCGCAAAAGTTTTGATCGACCGTAGATTCAAGAACTCGGTATCGAGCATCGTGCTCTTATCCGATGGTCAAGATACATACACCATGACAAGTCCCACCAGTGGTGGTTCAAGAGGAACGGATTACAAAACCCTTCTTCCTAAAGAGATCAACGGAAACCGGATCCCGGTTCACGCGTTCGGGTTTGGTGCTGACCACGACGCTTCTTTAATGCATTCCATTGCGGAAAACTCAGGAGGGACGTTTTCTTTCATAGAGTCAGAGACTGTTATACAAGACGCCTTTGCACAGTGCATTGGAGGTCTTCTTAGCGTCGTGGTTCAAGAGCTTTGCGTTAAGGTCGAGTGTGTGCATCCGGTTTTGCGGATTGGTTCGGTTAAAGCTGGAAGTTACCGGTTTGATAGCGGTCCGGATTCAAGAACCGGATGTATCGGAGTCGGTGATCTCTACGCAGAGGAAGAGAGGAACTTCTTGGTGAATCTTGATATCCCCATTGTCGATGGAGTTTCAGATCCTATGTCTGTGCTCAAGGTTCGATGCATTTACAAAGATCCTATGACGAAAGAGACCGTTGATTTGAGTACTTCCGGCGAAGTAAAGATTCTCAGGCCGATAGCGATTGGGGAACGAAGACCTGTGGTGTCGATTGAAGTTGACAGACAGAGAATCAGGTTACGTGCGGCGGAAGTAATCTCTGAAGCTAGGGTTTTAGCCGAGCGCGGTGACTTGACAGAAGCTGTGTCTGTTCTTGAGACTTGTCGTGGGATACTCACGGCGTCTGTGTCGGGCCGAGCCGGAGATCCGTTGTGTGTGTCACTGTGTGCAGAGCTGAAGGAGACGCAGGAGAGAATGGCGAGCCGTCAAGTGTACGAGGCTTCGGGTAGGGCTTACGTTCTCGCCGGTCTAAGCTCGCACTCATGGCAGCGAGCCACGGCGAGAGGCGACATGAGCGATACTACGACCATGAGTTACCAGACGCAGTCAATGGTGGATATGGTGAATCTTTCTCAGACCATGAATTTCGGAAAGCCTTTGGCTAGTGCTAACTCGAGCTCAAATTCTACTCCGATTCCCTCGGCTCAGAGGAGACTCCGGCAAGCTCTTACTTTTCCGGCGAGGCCAAGACCGAGGTGATTGGTGGAAAGGATTTGACCATTAAGGATTTTTCGATTTTTGTGGTTTTTTTTTCTTAGTACGATTTGTTTTGCAATTGGGAAGGTAGTTTACTCTTAATTTCTCAATTTTGGGGGGTATAAGTTGAATGAGTAGCTTTTGATGGGGGTTGAAAAAAAAAAGATAAAGAAAATGGAATCGGTGCTTATATAGGTATATATATGTTCGCATTTTTAGCAAGAGTGGCTTGGTTTTAGTCTCTTTCATTATAACTATAACTTGTTTTTTTTGCCTATGTATTTTGGTTGGTATAGGCGCGTGAATTGTGTGATTGAGGAGAGAATGTTCTCCCATAAATATTTAAAAAATTATGTACGTTTGCTATAGAAATGTTCCCAGTTAATTTCCATTATGTATACACCTTAGAATATCCACAACTCTATAGAGTATACCATTTTTGAGTATATGATGGTATTTCCTTGCCATAAATTATGGATCTAAATACTAACAACGGAATTTTGCAGATTATTGGATTTTGAAGGATAGTTGATGGTATTTTCTAACGGAGTTTTATAGTAGCTATTAGCTAACATGCAAAAACATTGAAAAATTATTTGTATATCTCTCCATAATTCCAAACTTAATTCTGGGCCTTACCACCCCATGATTAAATGGGCCAAGTAATGGGCTTGGAATGCACCTATTTCTAATTTCTAATAGTTTGAGTGACCTCTTGAAGATTAATGAGGTAAGCCAATCCGTTAAAATCTAATAAGCAAGCATGAGTGACCACGTCTCTATTGACATCTCAAGAGAATCAATCGCTTACATGTCGACGTAGATTATAAACTTTATATTTGATCCTGACATGTATTTTTGTGGTTTGTGATAGTATTGTGGATATTCGATATGTCACTATTTTCCAAAAAATTTCTGATTCAAATATATATTATGATGGAAATCTATGAAGGTGGTTCTTTAGCAAAGCGATAAAAAAAAAAAGTTTTAGCATTTTTCATATAAACAATTAGCATTTGTGTCGTGCTAACCTGCTGTTAAAAGGTATTTTAAGTTTTTAACTATGTATCAGTTTGGGGTTTTTTGCTCGAATCACCTCGAATTGCAACTCAAGTCAATTGTATTATCTTCTTTATTTTTCAAATTCGTTTTCTGTTTATGAATTTACATAAATTTATGAGGCACAAAAAAAAAAAAATTTATGAGGTGGTAGTAAACTAGTAATACAGCATTGAGCAGACAAGTTTGTGTGTTATGGGCATATTTGGCACTATGAATCCAACCCTACCGTACTTCCTAATTAAAATTGGAATTTTGTAAGTTTCACTTACTTTATAAGACCCAAGTTGCAGTGCTTATAATCTTGCAAGTGGACTAATGGTATTACAACGCCAGAAACTCCTCCGGAGCTTAGTGGTGGCATTGTTGTATTAGTTTCTGACTCTTGGTTCCATATATAAGATGTGATAATTGAGTACAATCTCGTTCGACTGACAACAACAACAAAAAGTTTTACGTTTTCGTTCGACTTTATATCTTACATGTATGTGGGTTAGTATTTATGTGAATGAATTACGAGACTATAGCCTTAATTATTTTGGCATGTAGTTCGTCGTTTATATGTTTATCATATTCCAGAACGAAATCACTATTATTTACACTTTATTTATTGATGAGACGTTGAAAGGATCAGTTGCTAGCACATGCGATAGAACTCGAAAATAGATTATTATGAACAAAAACTATTTTCCACTTAAATCATTTCAATATAAATCTAAGCGGAAAGAGATCCACTTGAACATCCAATTAGAAATTTCGTCCTTGTTAGCCCCATGATAATCTGAATCTATGAGTGGGGGCAACCATGCACTATTTCGTGGTATATATTATTTGTCGTGTAGTTTGATTTGGACATACACACATATCGATATGTATTATGTGTCTATAGGTGTATCATGTATGCATGTGTTTATATATTTATAACTACACACGCATACCGGATCAAAGTACAAAATGCAAGTTGCAACGACTATAAAATTCTTTGCATTATGTGATTTTCCTTTATTTTTTGGTGGAAGCTTTTTGCATTATGTGATTCTAAGTTAGAAATATTATACCAAATCTAAGTTCTAAGTTTGAAATATTATAGCAAATCAAAGTTTGAACCTGAAATTTCTTATAAGAAATTCACTGGCTCCTAGATTAAAATTTTCTTCCGTATTGTTGCCTTACGGAATCTTTGTGACCCTAACCCCAATTTTTTTGTTTGTGCTTATGACCGATCTTGATTCTAGGACGAATTGTTAAGGAGGAAATGAATGGATTTTCACTGCGATTGACATTACAATTAGTTTTCCGTAGTGCCTAATAGCAAAAAAAAAAAAATCTCTGCTTTTTCATTGTGTATTAATAACATTAGGTTCAGATTTAAATTCGGGTACTAATAAAGTTTAGTGTCTTATATAAAAATCGACTTATCTATCTTCAGCCGACCATAAGAAATAACAAACAAAAAAAATATCTTAACGTCAAAAGATCATAAACGTCCTATAACTTTTTGTTGACATCCACAAACGTCCTACATTACTTTCTTATATTCCCACAACACAAATGTATAAGTAATAGGAAGTACTGTATTACCTCTATCTTCCATTCAGTGCATATCATAATTTTGTTTGGTATATTAAAAACTGAAGACTATAAATCGATAGTCGACTTGCTCACGTGCTAAAGCCTGTGTTCTTGGATCTCAAGATCTACCTCCAAATTCTCTCAAGAAAGTCAAAGTAGCTAAATATGATTGTAAAAGTCAAATAGTTATTAATAGCATTCAATATAAAAAATCAATTATTAAATTTCATGTCATGAATACAAATAATTTTATGTCAGTCGAATTTTAAAACTTTATTTTCATCTACCAAAGACCGCTCGATTATTTAAGTTCTCCTTAAGACTTTAAATAATATTTAACCGATCGAACTGGAAAGAAGAAGCAATGATTAACCAACCCTCCTCCCCAAAAAAAAAGTAACGTGGAATCAAATATATCCTAGCAATATTCTTAAGCATATTGCTAGGATAGAGTCTCCCTCGTGGAATACCAATATTCTTTTCTTACGAAGTTTATTTAACACCGAGTAGAAGAAAAAACACAAAATTGGGTTGGAAAGACTAAATGCTCCGCAAATTTGATGGTTAATTATATCTGAAGTTGGAGATAATCCTAGCTATATTAATCTATCTACTTTGGAAAAGGTTGTTGCCGTATTGGTCGAAATGGTTAGTTTGTGTTCATTGGACGACCATGAAAAGATGACCAAGGACATACATATTAGGCTAAAAATCAACGAATACATCGATACTAGCCTAATTTGATGAAATCTTCATAGGAATATTCTAGACAAATAAGTCAATAGCAGCAATGAATGCAAAAACAAAACAATCCAAAAAACATTTTTGTTTTGATCAATGATCAGAGTTTAATATGTATAGTCATAATCTGTTATCCAATCGTTAGTTTAGATTGGACTCTTTAGAATTAGATGGCGACGTCCTAAGTATAGCACACAGGACTTTATGCTATGTGCGTTACAAACTGACATTTGAGTATATACCTGCATTTATTATGTCTTGTACTTATCTGTTACATATACGTCGCATCACCAAAAAAAATATGTATACTGATCTACATCACTTCTTTTCTATATTCTAATATCTTGTAAGGATCGTATTTGTCTAGTTTTTTACTTTTTTTCTTTCAGGCTCGACCGTTATGTATACCCCTAGAACAGGACATGTTTTAAGTATCAAGTCGCCTAAAACAGGACATGTTTTAAGTATCAAGTCGCCTAAAATGAACTGCTAAGTCACCTAAAAAGCGTATATATGTAATGTCCTGTGTTATGTATGTTAAACAAAAACGAAAATCACAGACGGGTGAAAAAAAATTAGATTTCGCAAATTATTATTTGGTAACTTTATTGTTTCTCTACTTGCATGATGGATCGACTTACTACGGTGACTGTTCATCAACTCGTTCCTGCTTCCTTCTTTTGGCGTAAAGTCTTTCATTTTCTAGATATTTATAAAGACAAACAATTATTCATTTTGTTCGGAAATTAAAAACTTCTTGATAAATGACAGAAATATTATGCTATTCACTTTTGTATCTAATATACTCTCTTGTCAAATAAACGCCATACTGTATTTTTAACAGCAGTGTTTTTACCCTTTTCTTAATATTATTGCATGCATAATGCATGTGTGAAGGTTTCTTGTTTTAAGAACATGTGAAAACCATATGTTATGATCGAAATCCGTCAGAATAAATAAAAATTCTCAGTAAAACGTAAATTATAATTTAAGAATAACGAATATGATCACCACTTGTACACCAACTTTGAATCAAACATGTACAGTATACGGTATATATACCACTTGTACAAGGACTTTAATCGGACATATAAACACATTAGAAAGTGGTGTATTTGACACTATGAAGTTGACAAATGCTAAAAGCTAAGTTTGGTGAAGTTCTAATAAGTAATTACTCTATACATTCGTGTTAATGATCATGACTATATGTCGGTCCACATATATTAGGTAAAATGGAACAACGAAGCTGCTTGGTCGTGAAAAATAAAAGTTGGTTTCTGAGGAAGTCAAATTACAACTTCTTAGAAAATATATATACAACATTTTCCATATTTGGAGAGACCGGTCATCATAATTCAACCTTTCGTTAGATTTATAGCGGCCTCAAATTATCCTAGCTACCCACACAAAAAAAAACAAAAAACAAAAAAGTTTTGGTGGTTTTCTCTTTCCTTAAATTTGTTAAAATGGTTTGGTCTTCGTGATCAGTGATATATGAAATACTTTTCACATCTTGTAAATACATTGTTTTGTTGATTCATATCTTTACAAACACTTGAAATCTACAAAAAAAAATTCACATGAATAGTAAAATGGCCGAGAATTTGTTTATGATCCGTCTCAGTAGTAGCTCTAAGAAAATTGATTCACATGTATTCATATTGAAATAATGAAATGTATCCAAGATATATGTATATGTTTGTGTATACATGGTATAAGTTAGAAAATGTGATGTGAATGGATGGTATGACTTTAATTATCAATGTGAAGAACATTAGACACCTAAACTTATACAGAATTGTACACAAAAATTACACATATACGTAGACACGTATGCTATCGTATACAGTACGTATATGTTTATATAGATGTACTTTATATGAGTCAACAGAGGCAATCAACGTCAAAAAAAGGAAGGTAGCAATCATGTTCATCGTATTTTCAATTTGGTGAGATTATGGATGATTATATTCTTAATTATAGTCACACATGCGTGACCGACCTCA